TGCCAAATTGCTAGGCAAACTACGTTAGTTATTGCAGACTACGGTTGCTACTTGGTTACTTCGATTTCAAGACCACACCACACTTAAAAATTCTACAAAAAATACAAAAATAAACCTGAATTGATAAAAACTCTTATCAAATATATATATTTCCTACAAAAACTAATGAAAACATTTACCAAAATGTTCAGAATTAAACTAAAACTCGATTGGACTTGCATCTAGTGTAGTCCAGTGTATTTTTCCCCCATTTAATGTTGCTGTTGCTATGGCCTGTTAAGGCCTCATAACTGGCTCTTGGCGCATCGAGCATACGCCATGTGTGCCGGCGCCTTGACAAGAACATAAATAGCTCTCGAAAATTGGGTTCGCAATGGATGGTTTGGTTGGTTTAGGCCAAATGCCCGAATGTTTACCCACCGACAACTGTCAGTTCGTTCTGTCCGAATGTCTGTCCAAGGGAAGCACCCAAACAATAGATAAACACACAAAAAAAAAACCCCCTCCTTTCTCTGTGTTCCTCTGACAGGCTAAAAGCTCAGCAGGAGCAATCACTTAACTCTTGCCCCCCGGTTTTAGCCGAGAAGAGCTTCTTGCTTGTTCACCTGCAACACCAAACGTTAGCTTTCTTTATCAAAGACAACAGCAAGGAACGAATGAAAAGGGGTTTGCTAAGGAGAAAGCATATTCACCAGTTACAGTTGTTTATTTGGGAAACACTAGAGTTTCGCATAAAAATTCTTTTAAATAAGGTTTGGTGTTGCAATTAATTAAAATTGAATTTGTAGAGAAAAACATTCTCTAAATGGATTACCACAGATTTCAGGGGAAATCCCTCATAAAATCCATGTAGAGTCACTGATAATAATGCACATTCCAAATCCTTCACATCGCAGCAAACATTGTTTTCCACTTAAAATGCCATCAGGTATGGTGGGTAGTCACTTTTATGGTTTGTGATATTTTCCATGAAAATATTTATTTAACCAAATGCCCCAAAGCCATGTTATCAATGCACACACCGTCCCCCACTAGCCCCTGTCCCTAACAATGGGCAATGATTGATGGTGGTGAAAAAAGGTTCATAAATTATCCGGAAAAGCAGCGTGAAAAATATGAGAATTTTCTTTTATTTCTATTAATTAACACACAGCTTGCACTCGTTGTACCCCTTTTCATCCGCAAAGTTTCTCTGGTTTTGCCTGAGGGATCCTTTAACCTTTCTCCCCCTCTATCATCTTTCTTTCTTCCTGTTTTCTTATTTCTGTTTTGTTGTTTTTCAATTTTTATGTGTATTTTTATAGGTTTATATGCAAACCTTTGCATAAAAAAAGGGGAATGAAAATTGGATACTTCATGGAAAATAAAGCAATGCCACAAAAAGAATGTATTAACAATTGAATCTTATATTTAATATATAAAAAGAGGTTCAGAATGCCTCTAAGATAATTGTCTGAAAAGAATTAAGGTTTTTAACAAAATAAAACACAGAAAATATTTAAATAAATTTCTTTTTTTTCATTGCCTGTTACTACTTTCCTAGTTTTTTTAAAAGAATTAACGTTTTAAGTAATAATATTATTTAAACTAAGCTGCATTGTACCTCAAGAAAGCCACTTTTCCTTTCAAGTTTCTTAAACAATATTTTAATAAATGGAAAACACCCATTAAGGGCAACAGATTTTTTGGGGAAACACAAATATTTCAATTATTTCCGCACTCCTTGAACTTATTCATGCGAGCAGATAGCAAGCTCGATTTTTTTTATCAGACTCTGAATGCATTCAAAAGTTAGAGTACAAGCCTCATGTTCCACTCAAGCCAGGCCACAAAAAACCCCGAAAATAAGAAAAATGAAATGGAGAAAGCTAAAAAAAATAACAAAATAAGGAAACACACAAATACCACGTATACGCCGCGTTGGCTGGCATTTTTACCGTTGCAAGAGGGAAATCAAAGATTGCCGGCCGCAAACACACACCATACACCATAGACACACTCATACTACACACATCGTTTTCCTTTTTGGACCATTTCGCGCTCTTATATCAGAGAGAGAGAGAGAGAGAGAAAAGCTGGCAGGGATCCGGTTCGGCGGTCACGCGCCAATACAAGCGCTGCAACTAGCTCTCCTGCAGTTGCTTAAACGCAGCGATTAGCAAAAGAACACGTACGAAGGATGCTCATGTATGGCTGCACTGAGAGGAACAGGAAGCGGAAAGAATACTAAGAAAATAGGAACACATTTCAGAAAAAAAAAACCAGAGATAAGGCTACAAAGAGCTAATGAAACTAATAACAATAAAATCAAGCATTCAAGGACTCAAGTTATTTATAATAAACCATAAATCAAGTACTATTTTCTATATTTCAATATATTTAATTTCACATCCCTATTTTTTTTTTTACTGTGAACCCATGGGGGGAGTTTCGTGTTTTGTGCGATTGCGGCAACAAGTTCGGTTAACGAGGCCGGTCGACAAGGGGCCCAAATCCTAAGCCGGAGTGGCCTCTCCTCGCCTTGCCACTCTTGTGGCCAGCAATTTTCAATGGCATCGTTTAATACAATTGCACACGCGGCGTATGCGTAACGAGTTTGCTTCGACAACTCAAATTTATGGAGAGACATCAAATGAAGGGAATGTATACGAGTATATATGTGATCTATATATTGCTATCGGGGCTAATGCGCAAAAATCGTAGACAATTTTTCATTAAATCATCTCATTGGCACAACACAGACAAGAGCAGGAAGAGAAGGAGTGGGATGTTCCAGGCCAAAAGAGCAAGACAATGAAAATGTTGGTAATTGAATTTATAAAGAATGGCACAAGGAATGGAATAAAGAATGGAAAGTTTCATTCTTCAATGAGAGAGCAATGCCAAGGCAAGGCATGAATTTAATAAAAAAAATAAAATTGAAGAATGTTAAGGAAGTTTTTTCCAAAAACTCTAAAATTGGAAATGAAAATTCCATGGTAAACTTTTAGTTTGAAGTTTAAAAACTGTTTTTGGTAATTGCAAATTACATAGAATTAAAAAAAAAAAAACCGTGTTAAAGGTAAACTTGTAATACATATATTCAGGTTATTTAAAATATTTTAAAATTTTATATTTGTTATAACTAAATAAAGTAATATATTACAAACTTTATTTCTGTTAATATTAGTTTTTCCTGGTGTTTTCAAACTCCTATACCGTTTCCATCACATCTATATTTAAAGTATTCAAATATTCAAGTTTTGATTTCGAAATAAATCGAATAAAAGCAATTCTAGAAAATTCCAAAATTAGCTTCATTTATTTGGTTTTATTTGGAGATTCCAGGAAATATGTATATTGAACAACCACAGATATTTGCTACCAATTGAAAATACTGAAAGCAGAGACATGTTTCAAAAACTTTTCGGATAAAGAAAAAAAACTAGAAACATACACACAAAACACACTCATTCACGAAATTCATCAACAATTCCACAGAATTGGTCTCTAATTTGCTCGTTTTTTGCTTTATTGTTTTAAAGCCAATTAATGATTTTTTATGATTTTAGAATGAAATAAGTTTATATTTACCGTTTCGCATTTAGTTTGTTTCAATGGAACGAACTTTTCAGTCGTTCGAATCCAATGAGAATTTCGTGCACATTTTTTTGCGTTTACACGGCAGCAGTTTTCTTTTTTCAAAAATGAGTTTTATAGTTTTTCAAAAATGTATGTGTTTGTTTGGTCAAACCCTTTTTTGTTTTATTAGTTTGATATTTATATATTTTTTTAATATATATTTTCTTTATTTATATTATATTTGTAGTTTATATTTGTACAAGTTAATAATATAGCTTGGGTGGCACAACACTTAGAAGCACAAACAAAAAAAAGGAGTTGCTTAATTTAATTGAATATTTTGTATGTTTTTTATTTACTGCTTTATTTTATATTTTTTGTTTCTATTTTTATGTTTTGTTTTAATTTTTCTGTTTCTGGCTAAGGATGTTTATGTTTATGCGATGTAGAGTTGGAGAACTGAGAGTTCCAGAGAGTTTTTGTGGCTTCGCTGGCTTGCTGCTTGTCTGGGCACAACTCGCCTCGACGACCGTCAAATGAAACTGATGCCCAAGCCGAGTCCGTCGAAGGAATATAAACTGTTAGGCAGCGGGAGCGAGCAATGGGGCCGACGCTTCGGCTCTTTGCCGAGCGCAGCCGAAGTGGGCCAAAACACCTGTAAGCAGCCATCGCGAATGCCGGCGGAGAGTGTGAGCGACAGAGAGAGAGCGAGAGAAAGTGCCAGCGAGAGAGAGAGAGGGCGAGAGCATAAGAAGCCGTATCACACTGCGGCACTTTCACTCGCTCTTTCTCTCTCTCTCTGTGTTGCCCCCTCTTTCACACTCTCTCTCTCTGTCTCTCTCCGGCTTCTGCTCCTTGCCTGACGCCTACTCTCTCTCCCGCCTCCCACTCACTCACACCCTCTCCTTCGGAAGCGGAAGGAAACTCAACAGTTGGCACATTACGCCGTGCAGGTGGGAATGAGAGGGTAGATGGTGGCGAAGAGCGGAGCGGGGGGTTAAAATCGGAGGAAAATCGAGGGAAAAGCGCTACTGAATGTTGTCGTTGTTTGTTGCCATTAAATTTATGACAATCATTTGTTTGGTGTTTTAACTTAAAACAAAGCCAAACAAAACCGAAGTCACAAGTGTCGAAAAACTATCGATAACTATCGAAGTCGATTAAGTTAATAGCATCGTTTAATGTTATCGTTTTTTGATTGTTTTTCTTAACTCAATTTTAAACAATTAGAATTGATTGCTTTATATCTTTTTAATCATATTTGGTATTCAAATTATTGTCTTTTTATAAGGAAAAGGTATGGAAAAGTTATTGGTTTTTATTGATTTTATAAAGATTTTGCATTGGTTTAAACCATTTGAACAATATAGATATTTTTACCAAGAAGTGAATAACTATTTTGATTTGAAAATAAGACCAGATTGACCTCTATTACATTATCAATGAAACAGATCCCAAAAGGCTGTGAAGAAATCATCGGACTCGTCCTCCTCATCAACCTCGTCTAGTAATTTCTTCAGCTTTCGCAACAGATCCTTGTCCTTGCGGAGCTGCTCCACCACTTTTTCGGCCGTATTGTACTCGTTCAGTAAGCCCAATTTCCTGAGAACACGCACCACTCGCCTCTCGAAGGGAGTAAGTTTGATTCGCTTCTGGGAATTTGTACCGGGATACCACTTAAGGAAGAAGGGCTTTTGAAGGTCCACTTTGTGGTCATTGCTATGGACTATAGCATTGGTTTTGTTATGGAGAATGCCACTTGGAATAGTTTCAACAAGGTCCTTGTGAACTGGTACTGAACTTGATGAATTATCCCGAACTGGCTTAGTATCCTGGGACCACACAGAGACAGTCAGAAAAACCAAAAGTCCCATGAGCGATAGGTAAGACATTTTGAAAACTATAAACCTCACTTCGGAGCTTCATAAGTTTATATACATTTTCAGTAGCGGAAAATTAACTAAAATTCTATTTGAGATAATTTGATTTATGCCTGAAGCGTAGGTGTTGCTTTCCGCACTGATAAGTTCAAGGAAAATATTATTCTCTCCAGCACATTATGTTGTAAAGTTTATCTAAGAACATTTCCACGCTTATTACTCATACTCAACGTTGCCTATGTGCTGCTTTGAGACTATTAAAAAAATATAAAACAAAATGTCAATATTCAATGTTAAACCAGTTTAAATTGCTTGCAATATTTTTAGGAATTCAGGAAATATTTTAATTGATTTTTTCTTTGCTGCTAAAAATATATAAATATGTACTAGGCATAAAATAAAGGTTAATGTAATTTTAGATAAATTTGATTTTTGGGTTTTTCCTATATAAATAAGACCTTCGAAAATATTAGTTAAATAGTATTTTACCCTAAACGAACTCGGCAACTATTTAAATCAATTAGGTAAAACCTGATTTCTATTAACCCCATGTAAACACACAATCAAACGGCAATTAACTACTAAATAGCATCTCAATTAATGACAAACGGCAATTAGAGGCTCGAAAGCCAATTTGGTGGCCCAACACGGCGGTCACTAATCGGAAGGAGTCCGCCGAGTCCGCTTATTGATTCCCGTTACTAGCTTAATCTAATCGATTATGTTTGCTGTTGCTGCAATTTTTTTTTGTTTTGTTTTGTTTGTTGGTGACCCAAAAACATGCTTTTTATAAAGCAATTACGGTGGAAACGAACACGAGCAAACAATTGGCGTTCACAAATTATTCATATGTACATGTGTCCGTATGGATTGTGATTTATTCAGTGGCATGTAAATGCGGCCAATTGATTCCATATCGGCAATAATAATGTGGCATACTTTTCAGCTCGAAAAAGGAGAAAGAGCAATCAGACCCTGCAGAAACTCTCAAGAAAGTAATCCACGAGAAGGAGGTCTCGCCTTTACAACCTGTCCATCACCTTTTGCTCTATAAGTTAGTAAATCACTTTAAATGCCTCAAAATAGTTCGAAAAACTACTGGGGTAATAATCATAGACTATATCGATCCATTGCAATGACCAAATTCACCTTTTTTGGCGCCCCGTGTCTGTCCATCAATGGGCAATCAATGTTTTTTTGGGCCATATATTTGGACAGATATTTATGTGCAGACAAAGGCAATCGGCATGTCAGGTGAGCAGTTTTTAAAAGCAATGCCAGGGCAGGTGGAAAATCATTCAGGGGAAAGGGGGATTAGGTGGAAAATTATGCGGCCAGCAGCAGAAGGAGCAGGAGCAGCAGCAGCAGCGGGTGTCAAACAAAATGTTTTCACATTATTTAAATGAAATGCTCTCTTTATTGTCTGACACAGAAATTGCAGCACCACCAACAACAACAATCAGCAAACAAATAAACAGAAAAAAAAGAGAAATACAAATAAAAGGAAACTCGGTAGTGGAGACCAAATACAAAGAACAAAAAATATTACCTGCATTCACAGCAAACAATGAATCATCATCAATGGATTTTTCTCTGGGTGAAAATGAGGGGGGAAATATACATAAAAGTAAAAAAAGACCAATCAATGGGCTATGGGGTTTTCTCTATAAATTATAGATTTGGATTAGCCAGACGAAATCGTTGTGTTTTATTTGCATTTGTATAACTCTATAAATAAACACTCAAACCTATATATAAACCTCATTTGTAGTCCTTTTAATTACCCAATAATACTTTATTAAAATAACTCTAATACTCAGATAATAAAAGTACCTGTAACTTCTATAAATTCTCAACTTGATAGCTATTCTCTCAGTGTAATTCATTCGGACTTCGAGTAGAACAAAGGACTAGACAAGGAATCACAGAATTTGTGCCAACCGCAAACTTTGTCCCGCTTATCGGCGTATATCAAATTATAATGGCTGAGTGCTTGGGTACATCTATATGCACATAAGTGAAATATATAGAAGGTATATTCTATATATATACTATATATGAGAGATGTAGCTGCAATGTCAACTCACAAAAAGGATAAATGCACTTGATATATGCTATGTATTTCCTGATATTAATTTTAATTGTCAAGAAGAATACCTAATCATATTTCATAGTAAAACTATAAATAAAGAAAACATAAAGATAAGTAACTATATTATAATCATTATATTTGTTTATACCCTTGCAGGGTATTCCCATTATTGTCAGAAGCTTGAAACTAAGTGAAGGACTCATTTCCGACCCTATAAACCATATATATTCTTGATCAGCATGGACAGGCAAATCAATCTAACCACCCCAAGCAAGAAATTTTTTTTTAAATTTTTTTTTAAATTTTAAGCATTGTTCAATTTGTCAAAAATTTACAACAAAAATTATTTTTTTTTACATTTTAAGTTGAGTATGCAGATTTATTAAGCTAATAGAAACTAACACAAGACAGTTTTCCGAACATAAATTAATGAATTTTTGGCTTAGCTATGAGTTTTTTAATCTTCGAATTTTTAACTTAGTTAGATGAATTACTGAATCGATCCCATAATTCAATGGCGCACTGCAAGATGTAAGTTTGAAGTTCGTGAAGTAAATTCACTTTTTTAATCTAGAAATATTTGAAAACTTCAAATTGGTGGTTATAATTAATGAAAAATCTGTAACGGCTGTGTATGCCCTTTTTGTTGCAAAAAACTCAATTGATATTCAACGTTATTTGTGTACAAAATTTTCTTGTTGGAAAGTGGTTCACCTTTTGTGGGTCCCCAGCTTGACATTCAGAATAATTCAGAGACAGCGCCAAAATCGCGATATGAACCATGACGAGAAAAACGTAACCAAAACCAAAAAAAAAAAAAAAAAGTAAGAAGAAAATAATAAAAAAAAAAAAAAGGAAACCAAAACGAAGCCGTAGCGCCTCACAAAACTTGACTGCAGCGCCTGCCAAGTGGTTGGCAGTCAATGGGCCATTTCCTAGGCCTATGTACATAGTAAAGCGAAACAGTCGAGCCCATAAATATAGCACATACATTTAACTAACATAAAACATAATAATTATTAAGCCTTCTATTAATTTCTTAATCTGCTTCTCTCCTTTACTCTCTCTTACTCTCTTTATCTTTAACTATTTCGATAGGCCAGTCTCTCCCTGTGTGTAACTCTAATGATCGCTCTTTCTCTGCCTTTCTCTGGAGATAGCTCTTTCCCTCTCGCTCTCGCTCTCACTTTCTCTGCTCTCTTTACTTGGAGAGTATAAATAGAGGTACTCCAGTCGCGCTGCCTTCAGTCTGTCCGCGGCCTCCCCGCTGTTAACATCTCTAGTGATTGTGATAGTGATTACCCTTCGACTCAAAGAATATCTCCTGACCAATATTTCCAATATATTTCCAAGTTAGTTTACTTTCTTTTTTGATATTGCTTTATTATTTTGTTGTGCTTATTTTCCATAATAAACCATCATCAGAGACTATATTTCCTTGTACCTATTTAAATGCTGACTATCGTAACGTAGATATAAGGTCGCATCTCAAAGTGGCAAGTGAAGCGAAGGCGAAGGAGCAGCAGGACGTCAAGGACGCTGCGGCCTATGTGATATGTTAATTTGGCCTAAACTACACACCGAAAGGAAAAGCATGGATGGGGAAAAACGCGGGGAAAAGCCGGCAAGGCGAAAGTAAAAGCGAAAAGCGTCCTTCGTCCGTACAAATCCCAAAGGCAAAATGTGTCATACATTCGCCAGTTAGCGGTGGGATTTTATAGAAAAAAGTAAATATTATAAAATACAAAATAGAAAAATACACTCTTTTTTTCTCTACTCAACTCTGTGTTGTCAAAAAACACTGTTTGCTTGGAGTAGTTATGATTTATGGCACAACATGCAACTCTTTTTTAAGAAGCTAATGCACATAAATCATTTTAAAACATTTTCAAAGATTAAAAAATGGGATCTAAAAAAGTTCAAGAACTTAGTTTATAAATACTAAGTAATAAACTGAGAAAACTTTGTTTTAATTACAGTTATTAAAGTTACTTTTTAACAACAATTTCTCTAAGACTTTGAGATAGGAAACTTAAAGTAAACTTATAGAAAATGTTTTCGCAACTCAAAAACTGCTGATAAAACCTTCCTAAAAAGATATTTTTGAATTATTCTAATACATTATATTAATTTCCATATTTTGTGACCCTAGTTTGTTATAACAACTTTACATTTTTACCATTAAAAAAGAAAAATAAGGCAAGGCAAGGAAAAGGTATCAGGCAACATTGTCCCTAATGGCTTTGCGTTAAGAAATTCTTAGATGACGGAGGCTATAATGAAAGTTGTGCCATTGTGGCGCCCACCAGGACACATTCTCCACCCCCTCAGCCTGCCCTCGCGATTGACACGTTCACCCGCCCAAAGGGGGAGAGGGAGAGGTGAAGTCAGGGGAAGGACACAATTCTCATATATATATCCCCCAGAATATGTCCCCCTTCTCTCCACACCTTCTCCACTGTCAAATTTAATGCGGTTCGCTGTTTATTAGATTTGCACAAATGGCATTTTCGGCAGTAGGTTGTGCCACTGAAAAAGTTAAGAGGGGTGGAGAGGCCGGTGGTGGGAATTTGTGGGTGCGAAGGTCCTTTCTAGGCGTTAAGTGCTTGCTGGCTGCTGCTGCCTGGTGGTGTATGTGTGTGTTTTCGCAGGATACGACAACAACAACAAGAACAACTCTATCGGCTGCTGCCAAAAAACCGACAGCAAAATTATTGAAAATTCATTTAAATGTCAGCAATGTTGAGAAGCTTCCCAAAAAAAAAAAAAAAAGAGAAATGGCGCAACATGTCGTATGCGCAATATTAAATATTAAAACGTTTACATTATTAATAACAAACAGGCGGAAGGAGCTGAGACCAGCGCACAGACAAAATTAAATTTCATTTCACAGCATAGAAATCAACATATTTATGAGTGT